TTTAGGCTCGTTCGAATTCGTTCGAGCTCGTTTGTCTTATTTTTTAAAATTTACATATAAATTATAAAGAAAATTTAAAATTATTTTATTTATATATTTTAAATTAATATTTTATTTATTTATAAATTATAATTTTATATGTATATATAATATTTATAATTAATATATTATTTAAACGAACGTTCGCAAACAAAACTCGGGCTCGTTCGTTAACCAAACGAGTCTGTTTATGTTGTTCGGCTCGACTCGTTAACTTTCACGAACGAGCTTTAACCGAGCCGAACCGAGTCGGGTTCACGAACGGCTCAGTTCGTTTAACAACTCTAATTATAATCTTCATAAATTTCGTATTTACAGTATACAGGACAATTAAGATGAGATGGCAGCGGTTACGGTGCCGTGCTCATAGCACACCGTGTGCTGACAGACAACACCGTATGTATTAATATAATAAAAATGTAAAACATGTTATAGTCTCATACAACATATACACATACAACAGTTGATTTTAGCACACCACATATTGTTATACAATACAGATATAATTATAAACAAACAACATAGGACTTTATTATAAATAATATGTATTGTATATAATAAAACTGTGTTATTTGTATTATGGTTATCATAACTGTTCCGAAGGTGAGATAGCGCGAGTATAAATTTTCAAATTACTTTTACCATTTTCAGTAATAAAAACATAATTTACAAAAATTACTTTAACTTTTCAAGACAATCAAATAAGAAAAATGAGAAAGTAATATGTTAATATTTTTTTTCAATAAAATCAAAAGTATTATAAATTTTATAATTAGATTTAAAATGTTACGCCAGAGTGTCACTAACATCTACTTTAATATTTCCTCTATTATTATTATTTATTTTGTGAGGTGACAATTTTTTTCTTTCTATTTTTATTTTCTATATATTTTTTCAAAAAAATTAATACACTACATACATTCATTATATTTATATTCTTTAAATAATTTTCTATACTTTAAATAAATAAAAAAAAATTATTTCTAATCATCTTACATAACAAATACACCCACGGTGTTTTTTTTGTATTTTATATATTTTAGGTTTCATTATTTTCAAGTAAAATAGTTATTTGATATAATATTTTTAATAGAAAATAAAATATTTATATTGTGAACAATAAATCGTATAGTAAAAACACTCCATAAAAAATAAAATAAAAAGAACAAAAAAAAAAAATAGAAGAGGGACAATTATTTTTAAGTTTTAGTTAGGATGACATGATTGATCAAATAATTAGTTTATCTAACTTTACTTAAAAGAATATTAGGTGAAAGTTTTATGTCTAGATTAAAATAGAAAAAAAAAATTAAATTAAATTAAACTAAATGCACCATGCATGCATGTGGACAAATTAGGATCAATTAATTAATTGAATCATAAGTAATTTATGGATGTTTGGGATATTTGTTAGTTATAATTGTTATATATATATATATATATATTATATGTAGAAAAAGTCACAAAAAAAAAAAAATAATTTATGTGGGACGAAAAAAACATATATGCCAACTTCGACCCATATTTATTACTCCTTATGTTCGAATCATACATATCCATTTGTTTTTTTTTTTTTTGTGAATTTTAGTATATTAATTTTTTATAAGTAATAAAATAATATAAAGATAAAAAGACAACTTTACCTTTAAATTTATTTATTTTTTAGTTGTATCAAATGTAATAGTACTCCGTCCGCCCCGGTCAAGATAACCCCTTTACTTAAGGACACAGTATTTTAGGTAGTGTAGTTTAATAAATTATTAATAATAAGTTATGATATTATTTTATATTTTTATATGAGTAGTGTTGTTGGTATTTTAAATATTTTTAACATTATAAATTAATAAAATATATACAATATGTATATCATTTTGTAGAGAATAAAATTTTATATAATACATTTTTTATTTATTTATAATTAACTTAACACTAATTTTATTAAAAATAAGAAGTTTTAAATATAGATAAAAATATTTATTTATTGAAGAGAGATAGAAATAAAATGGTTTTGAGTGGATCCTACGTGTAAGAGCTTATAAATTTAATTATATTAATTTATATTTGTTAAATATATTTAAGATGAATAAATTTATTAAAAATAAAAATAGTCATCTTTAATGAGACGGACCAAAAAAGAAAAATGGGTCATTTGTCGCGCCACAGGAAGGAGTATTATGTGAGAGTATTTTTTACTAAAGTAAAAAATATCTTGAGTAAAACAAAAAATAAATACATTTGAGCTGAACGACAAAATAGTTACATATTACTCGAAGGGAGTGAGTATAATCTATTGATAGTAATTAAATGGAATAAATAAAATTAAGCATTATTATTATTTTTTATCCTAATATTCGTATTATCTTCCATAAAAAAAAAAAAAGAAATAAAAAAAGAAAAAGTCTATCTAAGACTAGATTCATCCAATTTAAGTTATTATCAATCGATCAACTTTAAATAAAGTGGAGTCGATACTTGTTCCTTTCTCTTCTTTTTTTTTTTTTAAAAAAAAATAATAATAATAATAAATTAATTTTATTAATTTCTTTAAATTCTGAGACGAAATTTCAAGGAAATTAAATTAAATTTCTGAAAAGCGATTTCTGTGTAACGTCCAACGGTCTTTGTGCGTTTTATTCACTCTAAAACACGCTTTATTAAGTCGCTGCATTTATTATACGCAAAATGAAGTCAGCTTTTGACTCTTTCAAACTTTATAAAAGCTCAGTTTGGCCGACCCTATTTTTATTATGCGGAATTAATCGCCACTTTTATTTAAAAAATAAATAAAATTATTTTTTATTTAAATGTTTGCTTTTTTATCGCCACTTTATTTTTTATTTTTTATTTTTTATTTTTTCTATAATATGAGATGCTGAATAGTAAAAAAGAAAATAATAAAGCCCGCCGTGAACCATATAGTGCACCAATTTCATATAATTATTTAGTATTATTATTTAGAATATTTTTCCATTAGAAAATTAGATCAAACTTTATTTTTGGTTAAAAAATTTATTATTTTATATTATAATTTAAAATACCAAAAAAGTTGGTGTTGATTTTGTTAACTAAAAGTATATTCAAAAAATTTTAATACGGATTTTAAGAAAAATAATAGTTTTTTATTTTTCTTTGAAAATTTGTATGAGAAATTTATAGACATGTAGGTTATGTCAATGTTTTTTTTTTTTTTTTTTTTAAAAAAAAAAGTAAATTAAGGGAAAGAAATAAGTAAGGTCACAGGTGATAATTGCACTTTTTGACAATCTAAATGATTTAAAAAATAATAATAATTTAGTGGATATAAATTGTAAATATAAATATATAGCATTTGATCCATTTTTTAAAAAATAAATATATACTTCATCTGTCTCATATATAGTACAATATTTAGTTTTCATCACCAGAATTTAATTGTGCAGTAAAATAATACTTCTTCTTCGTCATTTAAATTTATTCTTATTTTTATTTTCGATTGTCATTAAAAAGTATATTTATTTTTTTAGTTTTTGTATTTTTTTTCCTATAAAATACAAAAAGAATTACTAATTGTTGGATTAAAAATGGTTTGTAATTGTTTCCCTATCGGTCAAATTAAACTTATATTAAGTGATTTATTAATTTATTAGGTTTAAATATATTTAGTAAATATGGGTCTCTTATGTCTAGAAATCCCATAATTTATTAATTGAGTTATGAGAACCATTAATAATAAGAAATATAAATCACAGGTTTAGACATAACAATCATTATTTTTCATATCTTATTGTGAGAGTAATGACATAAACATCTGCGATTTTCTCATAAGGGGTTGCTTTATAAACTTGAAGAACACAAATCCCTCTAGTGTTTGCAGATCCGAATCTGACAACGCTAATAGAATCATGTTAGATTTATTAGCTTTATTTTCTTATATCAACTATCTCAACACGACAGATCCTGAATTTAGCGGTTTAATTTCCGATAAGTTCCAACAATTATTACTCAATTTTAAAAAAATTTGTACCTAAATATTTGACCACATTTGGATAATGAAGAAAATAGTATTCACTCTGTCTCATATCTATCTATCAATTTGTTTTTTGTACAAAATTTTAAAAATATTAGTATTATATTGAGATGTGGTACAAATAAAGTAGAAAAGACTAAAATAATCTTATTAGTATTGTGTGATATAAAAGTAATGACATTTGCGCACTATAGTGTAAGTTTGAACGATATTTGTATTGTTAAGTAGAAAGTATAGTTATTAAAAGAAATAGATACTTTGTTATGGGATATACCAAAATAGAAAAATTGATAAATTGTTAAATGACGAAATTGGTATTTTCTTTTTGTATCTTTTACTATGTCAAAAGATACATACTCATTAAAATTTGTGCAAAAAAATATAAAAATACTTCAACTAATATCAAATGCTCCCTTTCGTTCTAATACAATAGTCTTGTTTATCATTTTTGTCCGTCTCAAAACAATAGTCTCATTTCCATAAATAACTATATTACTTAAAACTACTCTTACTTTTTCATTATTATTACACAATTGATACTATTTTTTACACTAATACACTCACAAGGGCAAAAAAAATTTTTACCTATATTTTTTACCCACTACTAATATAATATCAATATTTTTAAAATCTCGTGCCGAACACAACCCAGAGGGAGAGAGTATTAAATTTTTTACTATTTTAAAAATTCAAAAACTTAAAAACATCTATTCAAACGGTGTCAAAAATATTTAAAAAATAATCTTGGCGGGGACAAACAAACATGGCCGTAACGGTCCCCCCTCCAAATTAATACATGTAATAGTTGCAATAAATCATTTTATTTTCTAATTCCACCTTAGTCTTTAAGACTTCCCAAACCCTCCAAATACCCACCCCCACCCCACCCAGTCAGTCAACCCCCCCACCCGCCCCACCCCCTTCTCTCTCTCTCTATATATATACACACTACAAATTTAAGTCCATATGTATATTTCAAGAAATTCATCACATATCAAATTCAAACAATTCTCTTTCTCTCTCTCTCTAGATGATGATGAGTAAGAATACTAATAATAGTTGGGGTATAGTGACGGCGGCGGTCCGGCCGTGGGTGGCGATCGCCGACGCGTCATCGTGGTACTGCGGCGTCGTTCTGGTGGCGCTCGTCCTGCTCGGCGGCTCAGCCTCTAAAGATAATCAAGAATTGGCGGCGGGCAGCGGGCAATTAATTAGGGCAGCGGCGTGCGAGGAAATCTACGTTGTAAGCGAAGGCGAGACGCTGCACACAATAAGCGATAAGTGCGGCGACCCCTTCATCGTAGAAAGGAATCCTCATATTCATGACCCCGACGATGTCTTCCCCGGCCTCGTCATTAAGATCACCCCCCACCCTATTAATTAATTATTTATCAGGGACACGTGTTGCGCCCTGATTGGATGGGTGGATGCTTGCTTTTGACACAGATTTCCGGCCGGTCGGTACATCGACTTACACGTGGCGGGACACGTGTCCCTTTTTTTTTTTTTTTTTTAATGCAATCGATATATAGAGAATATGATAGTTTTGATTATATATATATATAAATATATACAGTGTGTTGGTAGATGATGGGTTTGGAATGTCACGTTGAAAAGATTATTAATAGTCTGATTCATCGAATTTTAGGTTGAAACGTAACTAACCTGATATAATTTGGTGTTTTTTTTTTTTTTTAAATTTCAATAAAAATATCTCTCAATTTTTGAAATTTATTTTCATATTTAAATACACAAATCTAATAAAAAAAAATTACAAAGTAGTAATTTTTTACTATACAAGAATATTTTTTTATTACAACACAAACAAATAAACATGAATATAAATGACATAAAGAATAATCACTAAGTTCTTTCGATATTATTTTTCAATTTTGATTCTCCAAAAATAATAATACTTTCTCCGTCTAATTGAAAGGTTACCATTTTCTATTTTCGTCAGTCCCAAAACAAGGTTATCATTTTCTAATTTAGTAACTGTACTACCTACCTAATATAATAAATACTCTTTCAACTTACAATATATTACATAAATGTCATTACTTTTATATTATATCATATTAATAGGGGTATTTTTGTCTTTTTCACTATAATCTAATATAATACTAATATTAAAATATCTACGTGCAAAAAAGCAAATGTCACCCTTTCCAATGGGACGGATGAGGTAAAATAAAATAAAATACTTTTACAAAAGTAAAAAAAATATACTAAAAAAAAAAATCTTCAAATAGTCATTACAAAAAATAAAATATTCAAATTAAAATAATATATTTTTATTTTTGACACAATTCTCTATGCTATATGTAAAAAAAAAAATTCATATAAAAACGAAACCATTAATTTTACATTAAAAAATATATATATTAAATTCAATAGCTTTTACTTAAAAATAAAAATCAAATAAACCCTCGTGCCACGTTGCCGTTTCTGTCCGTCCTATATATCATGTCACTTTCTTTTTTCGGAAAATGATTACACACTTTAATCTCATTTTAAATTTTTTAATTTTAATTAGATTAATTAGTTATCTTAATTTTAAATTTATAATTATTTATATTATAGGATAATTATTTTCACTAATATATTTATAATTATTTATATTATAGGATAATCATTTTCACTAATACATTTTTAATTATCTACTAATTATACTCCTCCTAAAATACCATAAAATACCATATCTACAGTGTAGCAGACACGGTATCATGTACGGAGGGAGGAATAAATAGTATAAATATGTGCCAAACCTAATCCATGGCATACGGTCTCTTGAAATTATGTATGATGCGAAGATGACTGAAATTAGTCAACTCAAATATCCCTATCGACTATTGTTCCACGTGTAGTTTGTTAGGCCATTTGCAGTTCCCACAAATTTTTATGGTTGGAAGTTACATTAGATAAAAAATTATTTAATTTATAATTTTATATGTATATTATTAAAATAAATTTTAAATAAAAAAAAATATTTCAGTGAAATATATATATATTCTCTCCGTCGATAAAAAGAGTTCTATTTTTCATTTTCGTCCATCCCAAAACAATGGTACAATTTCCTAATTTAGTAATTGTACTACCTACCTACCATAGTAAATCTATTTACAATATATTACAGTCACTACCTTTATATTAAACAATACTAATAAAGATTTTTTGTCTTTTTTACTACAACTTAATATAATATTAATATTAAAAAATTTACGTGTAAAAAACAAATGTTACTATTTATATGGGACGGATGGAGGATATTATTTTTAAAAAACAAAATTTTATGTAATACACAAGAATAAAAAATATATAAATTCTAAATGTATAAATATATTTAGTTATTAAAAAAAAAAAGAAAAATAAGAAAATTTGAATTACATTACAATTAATTTAATTGTAAGATTATTTATTAGTGTTAAATACCCTTGAGCAAGCATAATATTTATTTTGATATAAATAGATAATACACAGTTAGTGGATTTCGTGACGAAAGTAAATTATCAAATTATATGGCCTTGATTGAAAATGGTTGATAGTGGAGGGGCTATTGTGGTCAATGTTTGGCCACTATAAGACATTAATTTGTGGTGAATATTTAATTAACTAGAAACATTTTATTGGTGGCCTGAGACATTTGGGTGGTGGATTCTTTTTGGGGCCCACAATTAATTATTATTTTTACTATTTTTATATATTTTATTTAAAAATATTTATTTTTTATTATAGTAAAAATAGTACACATTAATAATATAATATTTTTAATTTTTACATAAATTACAAATATAATACTATTACACATGTGCATAAAGTAAAAAAAAATAAAAAGTAAAAAAATCTAAAATATCTTATATATTTTCATTAACTAGAATCAGATTTTCATGATGTTGATTTTTTATAATCAGTATATATAATAAATATATACTTTATCTGTCTCAATACAATAATTTTATTTATTATTTTTGTCCGTCCAAAAATAATATTTTTATTTTCATAAATAATCATATCACCATAAAACTATCCCTATTTTTTTATTATTATTACACAATTGCCACTACTTTTTACACTATTACAGGACAAAAAAGTCTTTTACTCATACTTTTTACCAACTACCAATATAATATCAATATTCCTTAAATTCCGTGCTCAACCCAATTAAGATTATATATATGGGACGAAGAAAGTATAATACATATTTTTACATAACACAACATATATGCCATAACTAACAAAACATATATTCTGTTATAAATATATTACTCTCTCCGTCCACAAACTAACGTCTTACTTTCCTATTTGGGACGTCCAACAACTATTGTCATATTTCTTTTTTTAAACACGAATTTTATATTTTTACCCTCGTTCATTTATTCTTTTAATCTCTACCATACACTTAAGGGCAAATTTATCCATTCATAACAAAAAAGATCATCATCTAAAAAACTGTGCAAATATATTTTAGGACAATAAAAATTAGATAGATGAAGTATAATGTATATAACATGTATTGTATACTTTTATTATTGATTGTGTCATATCATTACTATACTTATTTGACCCAATTAAGAGAGGATCCACATGTATATGTTAATTTTATATTTATTCTGTTATTCTTCTATATTATTTATTTTTAATAAATAATAATTAAATTGTTACTAAATTTTTTTGCTAATTAAAATCACTGTTATTTTATTAATTTTTAAATAATATTTTTTACGATACTTTATTTAAATTTTTTACTTACACCATTATTATAAATATTAAAATATTTGTATCTAAAAAATGACATGTCTATCTCGAACAAATAAAATCTAATTGATTTTTTAAAAATAAATATAACTTAAAATATTTTTAAAAATAATTTCAATACGAATATGGTCATTTAAAATAAAATTACAAATAATTAATATATTTTCATAAAAAAAAAAGAACATATGAATTTTTTTATTTATTAATAACGATACAATATTATACTTCTTTTGTCCCATGTAATATGGGTGTATTACTGTAAACACGAGAATTTAGGTAAAATATAATTAATAAGTAATTAAGAAATATATTAGTAAAAATAATTATAGATTAAGATTAAGATAAGTAAATAGTTTAATTAAAATTAAGAAAATTATAAAATTTAAAATTTAAAATGCGATTAAAATGCATAATTCAAATTTCCAAAAATAGAAAGGACAAATTATGTGGGACGGACAAAAATAGAAAATATAGACAAATTATGTGGGATGAAGGGAGTAAGAGAATTGCATCTTTAAAAATGTAAAAAAATATTTAAAATAAAATAATAATAATAATAATAATAATAATAGTAATAAATGACAAACACACCTTTGTTTCTAGAATTTATTAAAATTGCGCTTCACGATCTGGGCCTGAATTTTAATTGTTCCTTGGTCTCTTTAATTGTATATAATTACTCTTAAAAGGCAAATTGAGCCCGTTCAAATTTTTTTCGTGTCAGCCCAGCCCATTTTAAATTTGGTGACATACTGTCTGTATAGGCCCGAACCAGACCCGGATTGAAGCCCTGTTGGGCCGGGTCAGTCCTAATATACTTTTTAAAAATTTATTATACTACTTTTGTCTAATAAAATTAGAACATTTGATCTAGCATAGAGATTAAAAATATATATATTTTTTTTAAATTTTGAATTACCTGCCATAGTTAGATATTGACGTGTTAGATAACATACTAAAAAGGAAAGATCTTAACCACTAGGCTATGCTTACATTTCTAACACAAATTTATTTGTTAATATATTTATAATTTCTTTTTAATTTAAAATAATTAATTTTAATAAACAGTTATAAACTCTCAAATTTTATTGTGTTCAAATGTTGTTGTCCGCTTGTTATTTGAATGATGAACAAATTACAGAAAGATTTGTGTAGAATGATTTATGGAACATAAATTTCTTCAAAAAAAGATTTTTTCAAAACAAACTAGTGACCAAAATTCAATATCACAATTATCAATTTTGGTCTCATTCAAATGAAAATTTATCAATTTTACTCCCAAAATAGTTGACTGGGACTGAACACGGTCGTGTTGATTTGAACACAGCCGTGTTGGATGATTCAGAAGGTGACTGGGCGTCCCAGGCAACCAACACCAACACGGCCATGTTGATTACTTTGCACTTCTGAACACGATTGTGTTCCTGCCTATGTTCTGAACACAACCATGTTTCTGCCCGTGTTCTGAACACAACCATGTTCATGTCCATGTTCTCAACACAATCATGTTTAAGGCCATGTTGCTGCCCATATTCTCAACACAATCATGATCTAGACCATGTTCACGACTATGTTTTCAATATAATCATATTGTAAATCATATTTATTATTATTTTCACTTTTTGATTAAAATTATTTGACATAAATATATATATTTATAATTTAACAAAAATATTTTTTACAATTATTTTATAATATAAAAAATAATCAATTTTTAATATTTTAAAAATGTATAACAATAATAATATATTAATATATATATATTTAATAATCCTTATATATATTTCTAAAATTTTATATTAAATTTTTAAAATATTATTTTTAATTAATTATTTCTATAAATTATAAATTAGATTTATTATTCAAAATAATATTTTAAAATAATAACCCACCACTTGGATTAAAAAAAATTAAAAATTAAAAATAATTTTTCTTTAGTGCCAGCTTGGAGAGCGGGCTGCTTCTGCTTCTGCAGCAACTTCATAAAACCTTGACATAAATGTATTCTTGCCATGTGTTTCAATTTAATTGGAACACATGACAAAAAAAAATATATTCAATTTTAGTTATCTTTTATACATTATATTTTTATTATATAAATATTTATTATTAATTTTTATATTTTTATATTTTATAAAATTTTATTCTTTACAAATGATATAATATTGATATATTTTTTTAAATAAAAATTTTAATTAAATATAATCAATTAATAATAATAATAATTTAATTTTTTAATTATCTTATAATTTATTCAATATAATTTATTTTATTTTTTAAAGATACATAAATACAAAAAATTGTACAAGAAAATTAAATTTTCACATCACATTAATAATAAATATATGTTATTGCTTATAAATTAAATTATTAAATAAATAAATATGTATATTAGATAAAAACATTTATTATTTAAATTATTTTAAAAATATATAATTTAATAAAGAGAAATTAAAATTTGTGTAAATAAATTTTTTGATGAAGGTATAAAATAAAATGAGAGAAGAGAGAGAAGGAAGAAACCCAGTTGCGTTTGATTGATTGGAATGGCCCAAGGGTGTGTTTGTTTGAAGAATTTTGAAGGATTTCCACTATTCATTCAATTTTTTTCCCCTAAAAACATCAAATCAAACATCTATTTTTCATTTTTTATATTATATTAAAAATCAATTTTACATTCAAAACATCACATCAAACCCTATTTATATCACATCATACAACTATTCAAATTCAAAATTTTTACTATTCAAATCCCAATCCAAAATCCAAACCCCAGACAAACACACCCTAAGAGTGCATGTGGTGTGGGACCCACCAAACAAAGAAACAAACCCTACAGAACAGTACTTTAACTCCCACGACGACAGTGAGTCAATTAAATGAATATACTGATAATTAATTAATTAATTAATTAATGTTACGCATCAACTTCCACCTCTCAACAAATAACATCTCCTCACCGATCTCATTAATTATTTCAACTATTAATTTATTTATGTTTCCTTTAAATTAAAAATTTCGAAATGTTTGAAATAATAATAAATTTTTATTTATATTCTTCACATATGAGTTTAATAAATACTCTGCTGTTTGTTAACAATTTATACATTTTTTTTTTTTTTTGTCTATAACAAAGTATTCATTTTTTTTTAAGAAATTGTACTATTTATCTAATATTACAAATATTCTTTCAATTTACAATATATTACACAAATGTCATTACCTTTATATCATACAATACTAATAGGATTAATTTAATTTTTTTACCTTTATTTCTATTTTATCATAATATAATACTAATATTTTTAAAATTTTATGCAAAAATTAAATGAATATATAGATAAGAGACGGATGAAATATAATACTTATATTAGTTGATTATGATATAAAATATATTTTTTATTACAAAATACTACATGAATAAATATTTAATTTTTATTATTTTTTAAAAAACTATTTTAAATTTCAAAGGTGCAAGAACCTCTATTTAAATGGTAGCGAATGCTTTCTTTCTCACAAACCGTTTTATTACGTCTGCACAAAACCGCATTTCCAGTCTCCCAAAAATCGCTTTTAATGAACACTACACTCGCCATTTTGGTACATTACGTACTTCAACCTCCGTCTCCAAACTAATACGTCGTTCAACAATTATTGTTTTATTTTTTTAAAACACAAATTTTATATTTTTATCATTCATTTATTTATTACTTGTAATTTCTATCTTACACTTAAGGTCAAATTTGTTATTTCATAAAAAAAAAACAATCATCTAAAATACTGTATAAATATACTTTTAGGACAATAGAAATTGGACGGAAAAAGTATATATATATTAATAATTAATTACACAAAACTGAATCTAACAACCTTCCAGCCTAACTACTCCATTGTTTCATTTCTTTCCATTAAAAATTAATTACTTAACTAAAAACTACCCATCTCAATTATCTATATAGTTCAACTACAACACACATATATATATATATATTCCCGATCGCATATATTGAGCAATTCAATCCAAACTCTTTGTGCCTAAAAAAACCCGTAATTATTTCCCTCCAAATTAATTATAAAAAGAGGGGTTGGAACCATTCTGTTCTAATCTCCTCAAGAATCTCAAAATCCAATTTTTTTTAATTTTGTTCAAGAAATGGGTTTACCCAATCTTGTCTGGATCATCTTTTTCCTATCGATTCTTGCTTCTTCTTCTGCTGAAAGAGGTTTTTAATTTAATTTAATTTTTTTGTTATTTTTTGTAAATTTAATTTAATCTTTTTAATTTGACAGCGCCGTACACCTCCTTCGCGAGAGAAGCCACGTCAGCGCCGGCGGCGGAGTACTACGACTACATAATAATAGGCGGCGGCACGGCGGGTTGCGCCATGGCGGCGACGCTCTCCGCCGCCGCGAAAGTTCTCCTTCTGGAGAGAGGCGGCTTGCCGTACAACAACCCGAATGTTTCCAACATCGCCGGATTTCCATTAACGCTGGCGGACACTTCCCGGAGCTCGCCGGCGCAGCTGTTCGTATCCACCGACGGCGTCTTCAACCACCGCGCTAGAATCCTCGGCGGCGGCTCAGCCATCAACGCCGGCTTCTTCACCCGCGCCAGCTCCCAGTTCATCGAGCAAGTCGGCTGGGACCCTCGGCTCGTCAACGAATCCTACGCCTGGGTCGAGGACAAAGTCGCGTTCCAGCCGCGGCTCCGCCAGTGGCAGGCGGCTGTGCGCGACGGCTTGCTCGAGTCGAGAATCTGGCCGTGGAGAGGCTTCACGTACGAGCATCTACATGGCACCAAAATCGGCGGCTCGATTTTCGACGACTTGGGCCGCCGCCACACCGCCGCCGATCTCCTCGAATACGCCGAGCCGACCAACATCCGCGTGCTCCTCCACGCGACGGTCCAAAGAATCATCTTCAGAACCCGGCCGGGCCGGGCCCCCAAGGCCCACGGCGTGTTCTACCGGGACGGCTCGCATCGGCGCCACTGGGCGCTTCTGAGGAGCAGCGCGAAGAGTGAGATTATTTTGTGCGCCGGCGCGCTGGGCAGCCCGCAGATGCTGATGCTGAGCGGGATCGGGCCCGCCCGACATCTGCTCCGGCAAGGAATTCCGGTGATTTTGGACCATCCGATGGTCGGGCAGGGGATGTCCGACAACCCGATGAACGCCGTCATAGTTCCGTCGCCCCGGCCGGTGGAGATATCGCTGATTCAGGTCGTCGGAATTACAAATTCCGGCAGCTACGTGGAAGCCGCCAGCGGTTTCTTGGAGCTCGCTTGGTTTCATCGAATTGCTCAACGATACGCTGAAATAGTTAATCGGGTAATAATTATATTATTTATATATATATATTTAATTTTTTCCTATCAAATTTTTATTCCCCCATTCTTTTTATTTACACTCGTCTCCCATAATTTATATTTTTTTACAATAAAATTATATACTTTAATTATATTTTAAAATATTTATAATTATTTTTTTAATTAAACTATTTCGTAATCTCAATTATTTTATTATATTATAATTAATTTTACTAATACATTTCTAATTATTTATTTCGTCCACCCTTTCTCTTTCATCGCATATAATTTTTCTTTTATTAAAAAAAATTAATTATACATTTCAATTATATTTTAAAATTCATAATTTATATTTTTTATTTAGTTAAATTATTTGAACATTTTAATCTTAATTTATAATTATTTTTATTAAATTAAAATTAATTTTACTAATACACTTTTAAATTATTTACTAATTATATAATAACTAAAATTTTGTGTCTCAGATAAAATAGACAATTTAATTGAAAAAGAGAGAATGCTAATAATATAATATCTAAAATTTAGTGCTCCAGCTTGAACAAATTAGGAGACGAAAGGAGAGTAATTTTTTTTGAGTATTTATAAATTTTCTAACATTTTTATATTTAAACAAATTTAATTTTAATTATATCATTTTATTAAATGCTATGCAGACAATTCCGCCGTACGAATCTCCCGGAAACGGGACTAACTCAAACGGCGGCGGGATGGGCATATCACAGCTGTACCAGGACCCGACCGTCCAGGCCGGGTTGATTCTCGAGAAAATAATGGGGCCGTACTCGACGGGGCATCTGGAGCTCGTGAGCCGGGACCCGGGGGAAAATCCGAGGGTAACGTTCAACTACTTCCAGGACCGGAGAGACGTGGAGAGGTGCGTCCAGGGTATGGAGGTGATCCGCCGGGTCGTCGAGTCGAGGGCAGTTTCGCCATTTCGCTACCCCTTCACGTCATTCCGGAGCTTTATCAATCTCATGCTGTCCTTTCCCAACAATCTCCGGCGCCGCCACCTCACGGCGGCGTATTCGCTGGAGCAGTTCTGCCGGGACACTGTAATGACCATCTGGCATTACCACGGCGGCTGCCACGTCAACCGCGTCGTCGACGGCGATTATAAGGTCATCGGCGTCGATGCGCTGCGCGTCGTCGACGGATCGACGTTCGCCAGCTCCCCCGGAACTAATCCTCAGGCCACCGTAATGATGCTCGGAAGGTACATGGGACAGAAAATCTTGCAGGGACGATCGGAAAGTTAGTGTGGTCGCCGGCGCCGGAGATGGATGTAATTGTTGAGTTCTTTTGCTATTTAAGTGTTAGTTTGTCCGTCGTCAAATTTATTTTCACTTTCTTTTTTAGGTTGTCTGTTAAATTTATCATATTACTAATTTTGACAAAGTCGACAAATCAATATTTAATTATTATCTTCCATTAACACTTATTTACAACAAAAAAAAAAAACTGACTTTATTACATTATGTCTCTTCGTTTATTTTAATTTCTACCTAAATTTTAAAAAATACTCTAATTTTAATGGACGGATGGAGTACAAAATAATGGTTTGGTTGTTAAGGTATTACTCATTCCCTCTCAGCTAAATTGTCTCATTTAACTTAGTTATGAAGTTTTAATTTTGTATAATTAGTAGGTAATTAAGAAATGTACCAGTGAAAATAACTGTAAATTAAGATTAAGATGAATAAATAATTTAATTAAAATAAAAAATTATCATCTCATTTACATGATCTTCGTGTGCCCGATAGCTTTCACGGTCCTGGTTGTTCGGTATTTCACGCCGCGGCTCATGCTCATCCCACACCCGCCGATTCGGTTGGGGAATGGTGGCGCTTACTTTGTGCTCGACTATGGCTTCCTCCTGACCCTAATTTACGCATTTTACTAGGTGATTTTGGATAGGAGCAGTGCTCCAGCCATCGCCTCGGGTTAAACATGGCGTGGAAGGTAAATTTTGGGGCTAGGGATTTAGTATTCTTAGTTATTCATGATATTCTCGATTAATTTTTGCACCAACTGGTTTGGAATTCCTGTGATTCAATGTATAGGGAGATCAATTTCGCTATATGGAACTCTTTGCTGAATTAATTTTGATTATGTTCTAAGTTTTCAATCATGAATTTTTGAACTGTTGTGGTTGAATTTGGAATCTCATATTGTAGTTTGAATCATGGTTTGTTCATGTTTGATTCATATACTTGCTGTGATGTTGATGGCGCTCACTATTGCTCTTAAGTATGTAATTGGAGGCTTCAATCTATGGTTGTATAACACATCTAAATCAACAAAATAAACTAGCTAGTATATGAATTTCTCATTGATGAAATTGATTGGTCTCTGGATGAGAAGCCTAGAACCGTCCTGTTAATGGCTCATATTGATCATCATTTACCTTGGAGAAGTCTTATGGCTCTTTCTAATGTCGAGGGTGCACAAATTCATATCAAACAGTTAATCCTTTCATACCAGATGACTAGTTGGGAATCCATCCAAGAAATCCCTCTATCAATATTGGAATCTTAATATAATATGCACATGCTTATTGGTTTTGGGATGGGTGCAACAGAAGCATGGTTTAAGTGTAATGTTATTGTGATGTGGAGACACTGCTACATAGTAGAAATGCAGAGTTATATTTATTGAATTTGATTGTGGGTTTTGCCTTAATTTGATTATGTCATCGAACATGTGAATTTTTCTTTGTTACTAACTATGACAGGGTTACTTGGAAAGCAATGAAGGTGATCATCCAAAATTGACAGTCCTTATTCCATAAGTGTCACCTTCTCCTATGCCTACACAAGTGTTGAGATTATTTAATTTTCATATTTTTGTCAAATTTGCAATTAAGGCTTTACAGATTACACAAGTGTTATAAAATCTAAATCGAGATGGGGGTACTTTATAAATTGGGTTTCTGTAGAATTTGGTTTCATTCTGCAAACAAAGCACTACCCAAAATATAGATGGTTGTGGAATTGATGATTGTAATTTGTGTTGTAATTTGTGTTGTAAATTTTTTCTCTCATTTAAATTAAGCATTACCTACAAATTAAAAACACTTAAAAATAAGTTAATATAAAATATAGAAACAAAATTAATGCATGCATGTCCCGGGACTGACGTAAAAATAAATCTATTTCTACATGCATATTGCTAAATTAAATTAAAATGCATAAATGTAAAAAGAAATGGACGAATTACTCCCTATGATGAATTCGGTCGTCCGATCGTCCGGCCGCTCCCTCTCGTATGCATCTAAAAAGAGTTAAAATAGATATTAGTATATATTTATAGGAAACAACATAATGATATTAAAATCCCTTACCTTGGATTTGAAGTCGAGATCGAAGGATCTTTGCGGATCCCCTCGTCTCCACATAAGCGGTACCTACAAATTAAAAACACTTAAAAATAAGTTAGTATAAAATATAGCAACAAAATTAATGCATGCATGTCCCGGGACGGACGTAAAAATAAATCTATTTCTATGTGCATAATGCTAAATTAAATTAAATGCATAAATGTAAAAGGAAATAGACGAATTACTCCCTATGATGTATTCGGTCGTCCGATCATCCGGCCGCTCCCTCTCGTATGCATCTAAAAAAATTTAAAATAGATATTAGTATATATGTATAGGAAACAACAAAATAATATCTATCTATGTATCTATCCATTGGCAAAGAAGGAAATAACAAACAAACTAACAGTAGAAACAAGTACAAGTACAGAAACTAAACTACACACCAACATGATCGATCGATCGATCAACGGACATATGGTCTGTCTGTATTATAATCGATCTAAAGAAGAGCAGTAAGTACATGCCATCCCCTCCCCTCCAAGAACTCAAACTTAACAAATAAACTAAACTACACACCAACATGATCGATCGATCTACGGACATATGGTCTGTATTACAATCGATCTAAAGAAGGGCAGTAAATACTAGTCATCATCCCCTCCCCTCCATGAACTCAAACTCAACGGAGAAACTAAAACCCTCAAGAAAGAATTAAAAGTGAAAAAGAATCAGAAATGGGAAAAACGCACAAGATAACTCACCAGATTGCTTTGTTGCTATTGCATCGATTGATAGAGATCGAAGCACTGCACTTGACCTCTCCCTTAAATGGATCGCCCTCCCTCCTAAGCACTGCACTTGACCTCTTCCTTAAATGGATCGCCCTCCCTCATGTAAGCACACCTCTTCGTAATTCCTAATTTCCTCTCACAAAACCAAGAACACACCCTGCCCCTGCCCCTGCTCGTACCCCATTGCAGCCCCAAAAACTTATAATAATGTATACAAAATCAAAATCAAGAATATTTATAATATATGCTTTAACGGCTACTTACCTAATATAAAAAACTTACCATATATAATTTCACATTTGAATATTATGTGTATATTAAAATTAAAATCAAAATCAAAATCAAAATTATTATACTTAACGGCTACTTACCTAATATAAAAAGTTACCATATATAATTTCACATAATATTAAAATAATTTTTTTTTAATATTATGTGTATATTAAAATCAAAATCAAAATCAAAATCAAAATCATTATGCTTAACGCCTACTTACCTAATTTAAAAACTTACCATATATATTTCACATTTTAATATTATGTGTATATTAAAATTAAAATCAAAATCAAAATCATTATGCTTAACGGCTACTTACCTAATTTAAAAACTTACCATATATAATACCCTCCTATCTAATCTAATAAAAATTAAAATAATTTCTTTTTTTAATATTATATGTATATATATTTTTATATTTAAATTATATTTTATTGCTTCTATGAAAATATAATATTTTATTTGAATATATTGCTACAATTACATATATTTATTTATAATCATTAATTTTATTATATTACTAATGATATTTTAAATAGATTAATAATTTAAAATTTATTTTACTCGTGTATTAATTTTGTATTTTTAGTTTAAAGTAGTGTAAAAAAAACAATACCCAACTAATTTGTCCATTTTAGTTGGGGCACGAAGTTTTAGGTATGATGTAATTAGTAACTAATTAAGAAATATGTTAGTAAAAATAAGGGTAAATTGTTTTTCTTGCTCCGTAACTGGACCCCTTATCATTTTAGTCTTGTAAGTGGAGCCTGTCGCAAATTAGTCCCATAAGTGAAAAATTTTCGTTGTTTTAGTCCTCAAGCGCCGGAGATGCCCGCGTGGCGCTGACCTGGCGGACACGTGGATTTTTATTTTTTTTTCATTTTTTAATTTTTTTTAAAACTTGTTTTTAATTTATTTTAAATTTTATTTGTATTTTTTAAATTTTTTTTATTTGGTCCAATTAAAAAAAATAAATAAATTCACGTATCCGCCAAGTGTCGCTGACCTGGCGGGACACCTGGCGGACACGTCACCTCCGGCAAGCCACGCGGACGTCTCCGGCGCCGGAGAACTAAAACAACGAAAATTTTTAACTTATGGGACTAGTTTGCGACAGGCTCCACTTACAGGATTAAAATGATAAAGGGGTCCAATTACGGTACTAAAAAAACAGTTTACCCTAAAAATAATTATGGTATAATAAAAATAATTATAGATTAAAATGACTTAATAGTTAATTAAAATAAAAAAAAATTATGAATTTTAAAATATGATTAAAGTGCATAATTATATTTCCAAGAAAGAAAAGAGATAATTTACATGGGATGGACGGATATAGAAAAAGTGGACAAATTAAGTAGGACGGAGAGAGTAATATTTTATGTTAAACTATTATATTTTTTAGTGTATAAATTATATATTATATATTTTGTATAAAACTATATATATTATATTTTTTTAATATAAATCGAAAATCGTATTAAAAAAAATTATTAGAAAACATCTAATTTGGTGAAAAAATAAATAAAGTTCACAAAAAAAATAGATGTAAAGTTTAATTTATCATAATAAATAAAACTCGTGAAAGGATAATTATTTCGTTTAAAATATTAAAAATCCAAAAAAAATTTCAATTAATTTGCAAAACAAATTGGATTTGAAAGATATAAATCACGGTTGTTTTACCGACCAAATATAGGATAAGATTCCAAAAATATTACAAATTAAAAAAAAAATAAAAATTTCTATCACTATATATATATATATATAATGGAGGATGAATATTATCCTCAGGTGCGTCAACAACAAGGCCGATTATCCTCAAACATTATGTCAATGGATTCCCCAAAGAATCATATATGATCCTCAAAACCGCTGTTGTCGAGCTCAAGGTGCCGGCCGGTGCCGGCGAGGCTATCTTGCTCAAGAATCTCTACTTGTCTTGCGACCCGGCCGGATATTACTGACTTTTGAAAGGCTCGGGGAAAAACAAAAATAAAGACCCCTTAA